ATGACAGACTTGTATGAGCTTCTGCCACTGTACACATACTTTTTACCTTATTTAACTTATGAGCACACATAGATTCTCTATTATACATCAATAGTAGTAATGTTGGATATATATGGTAACCTTTTTTTGTGACATAAATAAAAGAACATTAGAAACTTATTGCATGCAGCTTCATAAAAAAAAAAAAAAGGAGGTGGTTACAGTGCTACAGTGCTTACAGTGGTTTTGAAACTTCTCTTTTTGCCTTGGGTGTTTCCTTCTAGTTGCTATGGAGTCAGCTGTGTGTATCAGAGTAGAACTCTGCTCCATAGGCTGATTTCTAGAAGTAGACAGCTAAATTTTTTTCCCCCAAGGGATCTCTGGGTAGATGGGAACTTCCCAGCTCTCAGCAACCAAGAGCATTCGTCGTTTGCACTGCCCAGGCACTTCTCAGTCTTTACAGAGCAGTCTTATTTATTTATTTATATCGGGGTAAATATATAGGTGACACAATGTTTGCCATTCCAACAATCTTCAGTCTTCACATTCTTCTCCTGTGCGCTTCAGTGAGGCTTTTTTTTTTTTTCCCCTCTTCTTTAACTATGTTATTTGCAGAAAACTTTTTGCAGTCCCCTTCAGGTCAAAGGAACTCTGGTAGTACTATGGTTAAAGCACTGGGCTGCTAGCCAGAAGGTCAGCAGTTTGAGATCCCCAGCTGCTCTGTTGGAGAAAGGTGAGGTAGTTTGCTTCCGTAAAGATTTACAGCCTTGGAAACCCCACGGGGCAGTTCTGCTCTGCCTATAGGGTCGTTATGAGTTGGAATCAAGTTGAAGGCACACAACAACATTTAGCATACACCCTGCACTTGAGCGAGGCTGCTCTTGTCAGTCTTCTCTTTCCAGGTCTTGGTCCTCTTCTTTTTGCTGTTTCTTTCATCTAGGGTATTTTTCCTGTTTCTTTCTCTTCATCCAAATCCTTATTTCTCCTGTCTGCTTCATGAAAACTTACCAGGCCATTCCTGGTCATTCTTAGATTTTAATATAGTACTATGAACAGTTGATTTATTTGTTGAGTATTAAAAAATGAAAATATAAGGCATGGTGAGCATTTAGCAAGAATGGGGCCTGGGTCTTCTGGGTGAGCTCTGCCCACAGGATTATCCTGGCTTTGTACCATTTCTCTCACTCTTTTCATTTGTTTTGTTTTTCTTATCATTTCCTTCTTTCCCCCCCCCCCTCTCTTTTAAATTGGAAGAGATCTATTCAAAAATATGGACATGTGGAAACCCTACCTTTGGAGAAGGAAAACCAGGAGATGGCAACTGGAAGACTAAAGTACCTAATGCAGAGCACATCCAGTCTTTTCACAATCAAAACAAAACAAAATTCCCAAATGCTACATCACTCAAGGAGCTCTGCATTCCCTATTAGAACACTTTCCATAAGGGTTTGGTATATTACAATCCAAGATTCTGAGGGGAAATCAAAAAAAGAGACGTAATCAGTTCACCAAGGAAAATAATGACATGGAATAATATAAAATGATTTGAAAAACATATATGGTATTGAGATAGAAGAGCATAACACAAACTTAGGAGGTAAGAAAATTTGAAATAATAAAGGATCTCTAAGGCTATGCAGAAGAGAAAAAAGAAAATCATGCTTGCTTAAATCTGAAGAGAGGCTCCTCTCGCCTAGAAGAAACACCTCTTTTATGAAAACTCAGACAAAGCCACAAGATGCCCAGCTCAAGCCACATGTTGGGTTGAGAGAGGAAGAGTCAGGGACAATTCAAAGGGCATATTCAGTGATGTGTTTCACCAGAGATTCCACAGTTGCAAAAATATTTTCCAATCATCCTATTAAACCTCAAGCCATTTCTCTGCAAAAGAGAACTGCTTCCTTAAGAAAGAACAGAAATTATAGAGATGTAAAGAACCTCAAAAAGAAAACACACAAAACAAAACAAAAACCCTGTCACACAACTCTGAATGAACTAAGATTCCTCAATTTAGTTCCCTGACTCCATCTTGTCTTCTCTCCAGGCTAAAGAGAAAAACAAATAATGGAAATCAAGGTGAAAGGTAGATCTAGGATGATTGTAAAAACATTCCTTCTGCTCTCTCAAAATCAACGTGAAAAAGAAAAACAAAACCCTTCTAACACCCCCTTTAAATCCAGCAGTTAATAGTAACTGAAACCAAACCAAACTGGTTGTTGTTGAACAGATTCCCACTCTAAGCAACCCAGTAGGGCAGAGAAATGCCCCACAGGGTTTCCAAGGCTGTAAATCTTTAAGGAAGTCCACTGCCACAACTCCCCCCCCCACCCAACCCCGCAGCTGAGGTGGGTTCAAACCAAGCACTTAACTATTGTGCTACCAGGGCTCCTTAATGGTAACTTGCAACTATGCTTTTAACTTTCTTTTGTTGAGTCATGGCTCTCCTCTTTCCTCACCCTACTTTCGGGGTCAACGGGCAACCTTTTAAAAATCACAAGACTGGATTTGCTATGTTTGGTCTTGGTGCAGCTTCTTTACTATCCACGTTGTTGTGTACTACATAGTTCTGTAGCCACACCAGACAAAATGGAGAAACAAACCCAGGAGATAATTCCCATACCGTTTGCCATCTCATTTTAAATTGTTGCTCCTTGGTAGTCTACAAAATGAAGAACAGTCTTCCACTGTGAACCTGTAAAAAGAGAAATCCTGGGCAGGGGTAGAGGGAGAAGTGATTTATTTCTGCTTCTGTCATATACTCATTGGTTCTTCCTTTGCCTCAATTTCCTAATCTGTTTGATAGTGGTGTTTGTTGTTGTTATGTTCCGTGGAGTTGGACCCGACTCATAGTGACCCCTCCTTGGGTTTCCGAGGCAGTATAACTACAGAAGTAGATTGCCCAACCTTCCTTCTGAGGAGTGACTGGTGGGTTTGAACCGCCAGCCTCCCGGTTAGCAGTCAAGTGTTTTAGGCATTATGCTACCAGAGCTCCAATACTGGTGTTTAGGAAAAAACAAAATTTCTTTTTTCTTTCCTTCTCTAATTCTAGCTTGTGCAAAATGCCTTAAGTATTTTTGAACCATTTTGTTACAGCTGTGGTGGCGTAGTGCCTAAGGCATTTGATTGCTAACCAGAAGTTTGGTGGTTCAAACCCACCAGCCACTCCCCAGAAGGAAGACTGGGCAATCTACTTCCATGAAGATTTACCACCTCAGAAACCCAAAGGGGGTCACAATAAGTCAGAATCAACTCAATGGCTGTTAGTTTTTTTTGTTTGTTTGTTTCATCTCCATTTATACATATATGAAGGAGCTCTGGTAGCATAGTGGCTAAAGCACTTGACTGCTAACCAGAAGGCTGGCGGTTCAAACCCACCAGCCACTCCTCGGAAGGAAGGTTGGGCAATCCTACTTCCGTAGTGATACTGCCTCGGAAACCCAAGGAGGGGTCGCTATGAGTTGGGGCCGACTCGACGGCACATAACAACAACAACAACAACTGGTGACATAGTGCTTAAGTCATTTGACTGCTAACCAGAAGGCTGGCCGGAGCCAAGGAGGGGTGGCTATGAGTCGAATGGACTCTATGACAGTGGGTTTGGTTTGGTTTTAGTATACACATATGCATAAGCTCTTGCTTCCATAATTCCTGAGTCTTCAATGGCACTTTCTTAAAAACCTCTGAAACTAGGAAATCTGGGGCAGCACTCAACTGGGAGGAATTAAATTTCATTTTTACTATCAAATGTCAATTCTTAGTCAACCTCACTGAGTTTCTTCTGGGACAAAAGAGGCTCGGGAAGTAAGTGTTTCAAGTCATATGACTAGCATCGTAACTGAGCAGAACTGTAATCCAACTCTTCCCATTTCCAATTAAATGAAATTTCCAAATGCTTATGCTGCTGACTGGAGGTCTGGGCTGGATTTCTATCTCAGCCCAGGGCGAACCTTGAAAAACCCATCATTTGGGATCATTCCTTAATCTGAAACATCTGAGATCTCAGACTGTGCCCCAGAGTTTTGTGCTATGGCTATCTATGAAGAGTCTAAAAGACCATTTTGAACCAGAATTCTAGGGACTCCCTAACCCCATCAGCAGAGCCAAATCCCCAAAGATCTCACACAACCTACTTCCTTCAGGGTTGACCCGAGGCAGAGCTGACACATACTGGAACATTCTAGAGTACACCCACATGTCTGGTTGAATCAGGAGAGTGGGGTAGAAGGGCACATGATGAACCATTTACTCAGAGTACCAGCAGTTGATAGGCAGTCATAAACCCAGTATCAGTGCAGCCCAGCGTCCTCTCATAATAGTTGTATATGAAATCTCTTTAAATTATGATAATTTTTGTCTTATCCTTAAATGATTTTCTTTTGCATTTTGCAGAAAACCGAGTCAAGTACGTTGCCTTGAATCACATGTAGGTTTTTGTCCAAAGAAGCACAAGAGTGGACTATTTTGAGAGTGTAAGATGTTTGAAATCCAAAGCAATCCAGAGGCTTCCTCTGAGCTGCTCTGAGAGGAGGCAGGGCAGGCATCGACCTCCCAAGGGGAGAAAACAAGGCAAGGTTGAGTCAGGTAACGCCCTTGGGTGAGGTCCGTGAAAGATAAAGCAGTCAGATGACAACGATACAAAGCTTTAAAATATTTCTGTGCTCCCCTGAGTAGGGTCCATAATAACTGAGACTAGGGAGGTGCGAACAGACAAAAATTCCACCGCCTATTGACTCACGGTGGGGACAGCTGGCAGGGAGGGAAGGCCGACCGGCCTGGTGCTGCCTGGGGTTAATTGATTTTACGCGGCGAACTCAGGAAAGTTCACTCGATTTTGCTACTAACCTGCAACGGTAGGCCTAGAGGTAAACAGGGAGGAATCGAATTTAGAACTGGAAAATCCAGGCGGCCCACAGAGGTGACCTCCCTATTCCCGGCCTGGATTCCGCGCCCCGCCTAGGGGCAAGGGCAGGGTCCGGTGCACCGCCGGCCCCGCCCCCGGGCTCGCCCCCGCCCCGCCCCGCCCCCGTGGGTGCGCGAGCCGCCTCCGCCCGCGTTCTGGAGCTGGGAGGCTGCAAGAATCGTGCTGCTGTCGCCGCTTTAGCTGCTGCGCTAGCCGCCAGTTCCTCCTGAGCCGCTGCTGAGCCGCGCCCGTAGCCGGGCCCAGGAGGCTGCAGACGCAGCCAGGAGCCCGCAGTCCGCTCTTCGATCCCGCCGCAGCCCTTCGAGGGCTCCCCCGGCAGCGCCATGGTGAAGGTGACGTTCAACTCGGCTCTGGCCCAGAAGGAGGCCAAGAAGGACGAGTCCAAGAGCGGCGAGGAGGCGCTCATCATCCCCCCCGACGCCGTCGCGGTGGACTGCAAGGTCCGAGGGCCTAGCAGGGTGCGAGGGAGGCGCGGGGAGATGGGGGTCTTGGCCCGGCCGGACAGTGCAGCGCGGGGCTGTGAGCTCCTACGCGCCGAGGTCGCGCGGGTGCGGGGGCTGGAACACCGAGGAGAGGGTCCTCGAGCTCTCCTCTTTCTCGGGCTGCCCCCTCCTCTTCTCCGGCCGCAGCTTCTTTGTAAGTGCGTGCATAGGAAGCGTTGCCTAACGCGGGGTCCGGGTACTTAGGAAGCCAGGAAAGGATGATGGAAGAATTGTGCCGAGTTCAATCGTATATGCTGCCAGGGGAAGGTGCTTGGGGCCGGGACGCGGCTCGACCTGAAGAACAGCAGCGACATGCAAAACAACAACAACCGAGTTTGGCACTTCCTTTCCAGGATAAATAATGTGCCTAAAATGGCTGACATCATCGCAACACTAAACTGCTGTTGCTTCCTACTTTCGTTTCTAGCTGAGCAGAACTTGGACTAAGTCCAGCAGCTATAAACCTCTTAATTTTAAATGCAGTTTTCTTCTTTACGTCCTTTTTCCATAGTACTTCGTTATTGGTAGATGAACTTCAGTGAGGGGGGGAGGGGGGACTAAGGGAACGGAATTGAGGAGAGGAAGAGAAAGCAAGATGATGGTTCTGGCTGTTGCTTTTATAATTAAAACAGAAATATTCCTGGTCAGTAATTGCAGTGTGGATGTTAGTGGCCAGCCAACAGTTGGCTTTTAAATTAGTATCCTTTGCGTATTCCTTACGCTAAGTGAAACTTAATCGAAGAAATTTTTCCCCACGTCCCATAAAGAAATTACAGAAAATCCACCCCCTTCAGCCGTAATAAAAGCCATGAGTGCAACGATTAGTGTTTTACTTCTCGTGGCTTACAATAATATACGTCTAAATATGATGGTAATTGTCACAAATTTAAAAGGACAGCGCTTTTTCTGGTAGATCTTTAGGCTAAAAAAATTAAATCCTGGAAAAGTTAACTATAGAAGTTACCTACTCTGCTTATTTTTTTGGTTAACATTTATCAAGATACAGGGCAAACTTAGTTTTAACTTAAAATTGTGTCAGGTGTAAGTAATAAACCTTATTTTTTGTATGTTGGTCTAATGAAAATTACTAATGAGAAATAAGCCCTTGCTATAGAAAATAGGTGAATATAACATTAGTCTGGATGCCATTGTACTTACTTGCTGGAAATGCTCTGGTTAAAAATACAAACATCGGGTTAATTTTTAAATGACTGCTTTGCCTGAAATGGGAGCAGTGAGCTGATTCCCTAAATGGATTAAAAGATTTTGCTATCAGTATTGCTTTCCAGAATCCATTGCAAACGGTTTTGGCCTTAAAAAGAAAATGTTTGGAAAGCACAGCATATAGTTCTAAGAGCAAATTATTTTACTTTTCTGTTTATCAAGGCGCCCTGGTGGTGCAGTGGTTAAAGTACTCGGCTGCAAAACTAAAGGTCCCTGGTCTGAAACCACCAGCCACTCCATGGGAGAAAAATGTGGATGTGGCAGTCTGCTTTTGTAAAGATTACAGCCTTGGAAACCTTACGGGGCAGTTCTACTCTGTCCTGTAGGGTCGCTGAGTCAGAATAGACTACAGCAGTGGGTTTGGTTTTTTCAGTTCTGTGTTTATCTAACAATCGTACTTAAAATAGATTGATAGTCAACTGCTCAGTCACAGTAGTTTCAAATCTGTATTTTAAATCCTAGAAACAAATATAACTCCTCCCATTTCAAAAGGGGGGGTGAGAGAGAAAGCATCTGATGATGTCACTTCAGAAGGCTTTTTACAGTTCTGCTATACTGAAGGAGATGTGAAAGTCTTTGGACAAAAATCAGAAGTAATACATTGGGTGGTTTTAAATCTGACTTGGGACAGTTTTCTAATCATTTGTGAAACCATGACCTGGTTTTCAGATTATCAGAATTTCACCATCTTCAGATTTTAGGGTAACAGCAGCAATAAAAAGTAAGCCTTCATAGCTGTGTGCCGTGTTTTTCCAGTCTTACTTTCTCAGATCCTGATATCTCAAGAAAAATACTGGGACTAAACAGTGAAGGCCAGCATCTTCCTTTGTGAGATAAGCAGTCACAGATGAATTGGCAGATACAAAATGACTAATTCTTTCCCTGCTATAAGCTGAATTACTTCTGTTCTTCAGCGTATGACAAAATATTGCTCTACATTAAAAGTAGAATCCTTATAATCAGTCTGTCACTTAACGGGTAAATGAAAACCTTACTTAATGACAGACATTTGTGAAAGAACTGATGTCTTCATCTCTGAGCTTGGGTACTTGATTACATAACATTTTCTGGCTCCCTGGTGGTGGTAACTGAATGGTAAGCACCTGGTCTAACTGCCTGGCTTCCTGCAAACTCAAGTGTGTTTTGCCTAGGGCATTTCCCTTGCCTGGTTGGTTCAGAGGGTCACGGAATTCTCATTAGTTAGGCTCACAACCCCAGAACAAGAATGTTTAAATACTTTAAACCCTCTTTAGATCACAGTAAGTCTATTTCTCATCCCTTAGACCAGTGTTCCTTAGTTGTGCTTACGGACCACCTGCTCTGCTGTCATCTGGAATTCTGGTTTAAAAATGCAAATTCCACTACCTTATGCCTCAAGAATTCATATTGCTCCAGTCAGCTGGCTTATATAACATGCATTCTGGTACTTTTACACTGTTCCTGTCTTCAGCTATTTCTTTAGCCTGTTTTTTTTCTGCAGGATGAGAACCCTTCAGAAGCAGTTCCATGGCCCTATTTTTCAATCTTGTGTTCTTTTCAGTACATTATTAATCCCAAGAGCCATTTCTATTAATTATTACTTCAACTAGCTTGCTGTTTATCCCCTAACGATTTCCATCTTCCTCCACTGATTCCAGTGGGTACAAGCTGCTAAAGGTACAGAAACAGCAAAATAAGACCTGTTTTGTGTAGAATGGGTGAGTTTAAAGTTATGTATGTGTTTTATGTTGTAGGTAGAAATTCGTTCCTTTATATTTGCATTCATAACTGACCCTTGAAAAACTGTTACATGTGCAGGTATCAGAGACTTCATGGACTGAGCCAGAAATCCCAGCTTTGTCATTATGTAACTGCTCGATCTTGAACTTAAATTTCCAGTTTCCTCTCTGTAAGATAACAGGGTAGGACCAGATGGTCTGAAAGGACTTCTTTAAAAGTTTTTAAAATTCTATAAAGATGCCAGGGTTATATAATTATATTTGGCAGGAATTAAATTGTTTTCATTGTGAAAAATAACAACTACCTCCTCGGCCTAACCAAACTGTTCCTTTTCTTCCTTTCTGTGTTTAACGTGTTACGTTCCTCTTCTATATTAAATTTACAGTGGGCTGCAGAGAAAGAAGTGGATAGAAGTATTATGAAATGAACCAAATTTTCGTTTTTGGTTACCTCACTGTTAGAACAGCAATTGTCAACAACTCTCTAATACCTGCTTAAGAAACCCCTTTCTCAATATCAGGCCTCTAAAAAGCTTGCACTTGCCTCATAGGCATCCCCCAAGCCATTTTGCTGATAAATGGTGTTACCTACTTTAGCTATGTTGCAGATGTTCTAAAAAGAGTGAAGGAAGCTTCAAAGAAGGAAAGAATGACTCCTCCCAATAAGTTCTGAGTTCTCACTACAAAATGCTTATTTGGTGCCTAGTTTTTTAAACTTTCTGCCTCCCCATTGGCACAAATAGAGGAACTCTGGTGGCGTAGTGCCTAAGGCACTTGACTGCTAACCAGAAGGCTAGCGGTTCAAACCCACTAGCCACTCCTCAGGAGGAAGGTTGGGCAATCTACTTCTGTAGTGATAGCGCCTCAGAAACCCAAGGAGGGGTCACTACAAGTTGGGTCCAACTCCACAGTAGTGAGTTTGGTTTGGTTTTTGATTGGCACAAATAAGACTGAAAAGAGTGGTGATTTACCTTTTTGTTGATGCTGGTGATGGTTTTGTTTTTTGGGTTTATTTTTGTTTTTGTCGTGCTCTTCGCCCTACCCCCTGCAGGAACCTAAAAATGCATGACTGGACATTTACCGGAATACATTGATCTTTAGGGAAGGATCGGGAGCTTGACGCTCTTTAACCAAAGTGCGCTTCATTATCTGCTTACATCATTTACCACCAGCTGCCATACAGACAGAGTCAGCTTGGATTCCTGGTGACCCCATGTGTGTCTGTACAGCTGTGTTCCACAGAGCTTTCAGTGGCTCATTTCTCAGAAGCACATTGCCAGGCCTTTCTTCTGAGGCATCTTCAACTAACAGCCTTTTGGTCAGCAGCCTAGCAAGTTAACTGTATCATTCAGGGAAATTTAGTGTTTATAAACACTGGTCATTTAAAATGTTTACAGCCATAACATTTTGACTCTCCACGAGGGTTATTTATCCTGAAGTGAAATATTACTGCTGGAAGATAAGTTAAATGTCTCCAAGCCTGAATGGGTGCCCAGACAGTAGGGGTAAGGCTACTGGTGGAGAAGTTGGAGGACAGGCTCCTGGCCCTGGTTCTCCCGGGTTTGTAGTATTTTCATGACATTTATTTTGAAATATGTTTTTGAAAATTTATTTTTTGTTGTTGAGAACATGCAGAGCAAAACATACACCAGTCCAACTGTTCCTACATGTACAATTCAGTGACATTTCTCAAATTTTGCAGCCGCACTCACCTTCTCTGGGTTCTTCCTCCTCCATTAACATAAACTCAATGCCCCTTTAAGATTACCTAATTTGATTTGCTGCTGTCAGTTTGATCCCATATATGTTAGATCTAACTATATGTTAGATCTTAAAAGAGCATAGTGCTAAATGCAGACATCCTTTACTATTTAAGCTAAACCACTGCTTGGTTTTAAGAATACTTCAGGGATATATTTTTGGTTTAAGGATTATCGCAGGACAATAATTTCAGGGATTTATTTAGTGCCTGTGGCTCCCAAAAAGTCTGGAGTCCATGAGCATTTATAATTCTAT